CCAACTATAATTTACTTAGTAAAATATTGCAAAAACGCAGATTGTTTGTAGAGAAAATTTGGTACAAGTGATCGTTGAGAAGAGTTATGTGATCGGCCCTATTTTTATTTTATATATATATTCTAATAAATAAATTCTAAAATCTTTTTAAGCTACAAAAGTATATGAAGACCTGGTAGTAATTTTCAAGCATCCAAAGTTCCAATCCTGTCATGTGCTAAAAAATATAAGGTGTCTTAAATCCTAGTGAAATAAAATGACTTTACTTAATATAAAAAGCCATTCTGTCCTTATTGATGATCGAAAGATGCCTTCCACTTCAAGATCAACCAAACTCACATATACTATTTCAATAAAAGAACACCTTAAGCATATTTTGAATAATCTGCAACTGATGACAAAGATGCATTTTGAACATGGTCTTGAGGTTCAAGAAAAATCAGAATTGTAGCATAGTGATATCTAGCAGTGGTCTCCTTTATATAGTAATACAATGATTAGTATCAATAACAGTAAGACATGTTTATTTATTGTTTTTTTTTCTTATATACCTAGCACACACATTGTTCTTGACTTACTTGACTTATCTTTCTTGAACCACCCTAAATAAAAATAAGGATACATATCATTTTTGATCCGTAAGATCGATAAAATATTAAGTGCTATTATAATAATTAAAGAATTATTTAATATGAAATTTGTTTTACCTTTTTTTGTTAGCTAAACCCTATTTCTTTATATATATAATTATTAAGACAAATTTTTAAATAAACTAATAATTGTTTTAATTTTAAATAAATATGAACTTGTAATTTTGTCTTTATTATTTAATTAGTATAAACTTTAGATTTAAAATAATAAGTCTTAAATTAAGTATTTTATATGGATCAAAAAACAATGTTTATAAGGGAAGTCAAAAAAAAAAATCTGGTATGTCAAAAACAATGCTCTTGTATCTAACTCTATTCTAATTTTTTTTTTAGTTAAATACAGTATTGGACAATTTATAGAGTTTATCTATGCCAATAAAGATAATTAGCATGAAAGGCACCTTGGAAAATTGAAGCCATTGTTTTATTCTTACCACTATCTGAAACTATTGATCCGAATAACCAAATGCAAGATGCTTTAAAAATATCAAGACTTTTAAGATATGACAAATTGGGAATTTATTGTAGAAAGATAGAAGTCTTCAAGGTATAAAGAACTCTGGATGATTGAAGAGAATCATCAAATTGTTTCATCTATTCATATCCTAAAACATGTTTCTATATAGCTTCAAAATAGTCCCCAACCTGTATTCTATAATTTCTGTATATCTGAGATTTTATACCAAGATATTAATACTAGACAAATTCACATCTGACTAATATATTTATGCCACCATCATCCTTCTGAATATATTATTACAAATTTATCACCTTTGTATAATATGAAAACATTTAAATTCATGATCGATATTTATAATGATGACTTTGGCACTTTTCCTAATACTTATTACATATTAGGAGGCATTTATATGCAAATAGGCAATATGCCTTTTAGTTTAAAAAAACAGTTAAAAAATTATTTTATAGTTGATTTTATACCATTTGAAGGCTACTTTGATGATATGATATGTCTTTTACTTCAAGAACTTCATCAATTAGAGAAAGGCATTGTAATGAAGATGAATAATGAATTAGTTTGGGTTATTGTTTCAATTAGATTAGTAATGGCTGACTTGCCACAAGACAATGATCTTAGCAATGTTAAAAAACAAGATGCTCTTTATGGGTATTGGAATTGCTTGTTCCAAAAAATTGACTACCGATATTACTTTTGATAGAATACGTTTTGCATATTTTCATCATATCACTAAAGAAGATTTTATTAAGTTACAGATATTAAAAGAAAAAAATATAACCTAAAAAGAGATTGAAGATTTCACAAAATGCTATGGTCTTCATTCAAAACTGGCCATTTTATCAATGTTGTCACATAACCACCATGTATAGACACTTCAAGATTCTTACCATGCAGTTGTTGGTAAAATTCAAAAATTATTAGAATGCACACTCAATTTGTTAAATAAACAAGGAAAAAGTGGGGTTTAAAATATTAGAAGTGCTTTGAAAAACTGTCCACTTGGTGTCGCTTGTCTAATCCCATTACTATCTTAAGAGTTTCATGTTTTCAGATGTATTGCAACTTGCCATGTTGATGCTATTTATTTTAAGATGTTTTTTAAATGCAGATAATATTTCCCAATTTCTCACATATTTGCATAAAGATATACGATGTAATATGAAAAAAAGACAAATACATTTTCACTCTTTCATATAACTACACACTTAGATGAATTGTGTTTCTGGTATACACTAACAGTAATGTTTTCATAAATTTTTTTAGATAAACCCTATTCTTATATAAATATCCTAAACCTTGAGTCTAATAAATTTCTATTCTTGCTATAATCCTAATATAATTCTTTGAAATTTTTTAATATTCAAATTAAAAAAATGATACTGAATATATATTATAATAATATGATTGCACTATATATTTATTATAGTTAAATTCAATGGTTATAATACTTGAAAAGTCTTATCGATAATATAATATAAAACCCTTCTATTTATCTTCATGTAAAACTCTTATAATGAATTTCTAAACTATGTTATAAAAAAAATTATTTATGAAATACTGATTAGGCCATACAAATTTAATATTTTGGTTTTCATAACATGAAACCTTTAACAGACCCGGCTGGCCAGCTTTTTTTTAAAAAATTTCATATATAAAAATTTTATAAAATTTTTTTAAAAAATTTTTAAAATCCCACCCAGTTATTAAAACATATAAAAATTTTTTTTACAAGTTTTCAAATTTTGACCTGGCCGGGTTATAAAAACCAATTAATTAAGTTTGCATAGCCTTATTGTTATCATTGTAAAAGTTTGTTGAATAAGAAAAGCGATATACATGTACAAAGTATATTTTGGAAACTTTGTTGAGAACAGAAATCAGATAAATATGATACATTCTTGTATCTAACTTAGCTTGTTTCTCAAAGATTGAACATTTTAAAAGAGCATCAATACGCTTAGTATCTTTTAGCCAATTAATCCAAACAAAGGAGTAGGCAAGTCCATCTTATACTTATGTATAAAAATTGCCTTATAATTGCATATAACTCATTTTCTTCTTCTTTGATAAGTACAACATCGCCAATACGAAGCCTGATATGTGCATAAAATCTCTATTGTCATCTAGAAGTATATACTTGATATATTGATATAGTTTAATGAAACATGTTGTAATATATTGGCACCATTATAGATATTCAGCATATGCAACAAAAAGGTTATTCTTTAAGGTAGCGTTATCATCAAGGCAACTTGATAATCATAGTAACCAAATTTTAGCAGGAGTTAATTGTTGCCAGACTCAAATAATGATAACTCAAGCATCTTCTGAAACTATATCTGTATCTAGAAATATACAATAGTATTGTTTCTATATATTTCAAATATGTAATGAACAGTATTGGCCAATAGAATACTTTGGTTCGCGAACAGAACAAATATTTTGCTACATATAAAACATTATATTATTGCAAATATTTATTAATATTAAATAAATTTGTTACATATGAGAGTAAAGGTTTAAATATATATTTATAATAAGTTAATGTGATTAAATATAAAAACATATATAGGGGTGTAGTGACTTAGTGAAGTGGTCAAGTTGTCACCCCCCAAGTGGCAGGTCTAGAGTTCAATTCCTACCGGCGATGAT